GTGATCGTTTCCAGCGTTAATAAAGCGTCTCACTGGACGCATCGACTTTCAGTGCTCACCCGTTACGCTCCCCTGTTTAGTTGGGAGCTTAGAGGCTGAGTACAGCGTTGTTGGTGAACCCGCAGACAGAAATGTCAGCCAGTTTGCCCGCCCGCATGCACACATGTCTCGTAATGAAAGGACTAGCAAAAAAGGAAGAATGTTTTTTTTATTTCCGGGAAACCGTAGAACCTGATCATAGCTGTATCAACAGATTTTTTAAGTTCATTGGGGGGTTATGAGCACCAGTAGTTTATTTAACGGCAAGACTCGTCCGCCATGCTTTATAGTCGTTCGAGAGCGTCAGGACTTTGCTTTTACCTGCGCTCGATACGGCTGTGATCATGCCTGATCTAGTCAGCCTCAGTGATGCCATGGACTGTACCTCTCCACGCATGACGATTAGCGACGGCGGATCTGGAAGGCTCAACCTATTCTATTTTCCAGTGACGGAGACCGAATATCGAAGGCCCAAGAACCGCTATGCTTGGGTGGACATGGTGAGTCAATTCTTGGCCACAAGCAAAGTGATATCAAAGCTGTTTCTGTTGTTTTCTCGACGTTGGCCTTGCAGTCTGATATATGCGACTCGAGGTCAAAGGTCTTCTTATTTGACGGGAACGCAAGGCGATTTTAAGGACATTTGCCTAGGTTCGGATGAAGATGTCTAATAAGTTCGTGCATCAGTTTGCACGGCTTAAGGGGCTTGTACAATTTGGAGTGCCAATGTTGTTGGCCTATGTGATAATCGCCGCCTCGCGAACGATACGCTACAAGAACATCTCCGGCAGTATTGGAATCTGTCTGCTTGGCCCATTCTCTATAGGCAGGATTAAGCGAAGCATTTTGGTACGGAAACGTTTTCTAGGCACCCGTTTGGAAAACGGCACATGCGTGGAGTGAAGTACATGGAAACTAACGGAGGTATGTGACAGTGGAATGTCACGTCGGCTGTGCAGAAAATACAACCCTCGGAAAACGGTATTGAACTATGAGCACTAGTACAGAAAAACCGTAATTAATACAAGTTTATCAACCATAAGCAGCAAAGCTTCTATGTTTGTGGGGTAACAACACGCCAAGGTCTCTTAATTGAACAGAAAAGATACATCGCAGATATAGGGTTCCAAACTAATAGGTAATCATCTTTGACGGCAAGAAAGCTAACAATACTGCAATCCAAGAAGCGCTAAAGATACGAGAGACAAAGGCGTTAATAAAGCGCTCAAATGTCTTTAACGGATGCTTCTGTTCGGAAAAAGATAGGTCTCTACATG